TACATAGCGTAGTCTCTCTCCTTAGTCGCGCCCGTCAGCGCTGAGCGCCCACCGCCGGCGCAACATTACGCTGCGTCTAGCTCTTGTGCTCGCGTGGCCTGGCGCCGTGCTCCTGTTCGCTTGTGCTGTGGGCCCCGTCTCGCTGAAGTGCGCTTCGGTGACAGAACGAGCCTGGGTCAACACTAGCCCGGGTAGCTCGTCTGAAGGTGCGTCTTCCAGCCACACACAATGCCGAGCTGGATTCGGCGTCTACACAGCGGGAGGCTGACGGGAGCGCATCCTCCCGCCGGCTTCCCTTACTCCTTGCAGAATGAGGAGCACAGGTCGCCGGCTGGCGCTGCCCTCAGCGTTCGATTTAGTGGCGCTAGAAGATTGACCTCCCGAAGGTCAGTCTTCTTGTAGTGTGGACCTGCCCTAAGAGCATTGTCTGAAGCAAAATATCGAATCCTAGAACGGGCAGAGCTCTTGAGAGGCCCTCGCGGCAGGACCAAGCGCTGTCTGACCGTCTCTGACGTGTCTGTCCAACCTGCTCCTCTATCTCCAGCGATGGGGATTCCACAGCTTCCGTTAACGTGCCCAGTGTTCCATACGTTAATGTCCCACCCCCGCACAAGCTAGTGGGAGGTTCCTGCACGGGCCAGTGTCCACCCCAGAGCCAAGGGAGGATCAGGAGGGGATAAGCCGCTGGGTTGGATTCTGATGACAGAAGGATTTTGTATCCTGTGACGTCGCCCTAGGACACCTCCTAGCTGTGCTCCGAGGCTGTGGACTCCCCCGCCGGCTCCCAGAAAGGGGCATCATCAGACCTGTTTTCGGGTGCTGAGGCTCTCCTGGCTGTTGGCCGTTAGCCCAGGCGGGTGCTGGTCTGTTGAGCGCCTCTTCTAGCCAGCCAACGTGCAGTCAGGCAACGTCCTGGCAGAACGGGGCCGTGTTGCGTCCCGTCGGTCGGTCCCCGGTGAGCTGTGGGAGAAGGGCCGTGCTTGTGCTGCCAGACTTGGCCTAGGGCTTCACGCTCCCCGGCTTGGCTGAGGGAGGTTCTGTCCACCAAGCTGAGGCTGGGCTTCCCGGCCACCACCTTCCAAGACATCCAGAGAGGGGTGACCAGCGCGGTGAGCCAGGGCAAGTTTGACACGAAAGGCATCGAGAGCACCGACGAGGCCAAGCAGTCGTTCCTGGTGAGCGCCCGAGTAGCTAGAACCCCAGAGCCACAAAGTCCGTCCCGTGGCCATGGGCTGAGAGCTGGGCAGGGAGACCTCTG